AAATTACAACTCAAAATTTTTTCAGCTGAACATTCAACAAAATCAGTGGGAAGTTTCTGGAAGCCTTTACATCATATTCCATCTAGCTCAACCTCAAATCCACTCACAGGAAAAAGATTTGATCAAGTCCCTCCTCATATTCCTCATTTTTAATTCTTTTCCCCTTAATATACCCACTTAATTCTTACACATATTTGCAACTTAATTGATTTTAGTTTTATCCCTGAATTACAAACAAAGAGTTATCTGAAAATTTAATCCCTGCAAAATTTGAGTAAAAATTCGGGTTTAGGGCTTAGAGTACTCCCTCTGTCCAGTAATTGAGCCACTTTCCACTACGTCCCCAAAAAGAGTTGATTTCAGAAAGTTGATTCCGTAGAACTACTAAATGTAATTTGCCCTTTCAATGAAGTAATGGTGTGATAGGTGCCAGAAAGACTTGAAACAATTGCATCCATATGAAAGTTGAAGTTCCAAATCAACCTTCGTCATTTGTCAGCATTCAGCAGAGTGCAATAGAAGTATGGCATACAAAGCTGTATCTAATTACTTAAAACTCAAGATATTAATAAGAATTGCCCATTGATCTTTTTTTTTTTTCCCTTATCTCCCACGCTTCTGGTTGCCATGAATACATCAAAGAGCACATATCATGGTTGCTATAAAGAACGCAGTTAAGTTGCGTAACTTACCCAATATCATAATCTTCTTCCATCAAGTTTTTGAGGTCTTCAGCCTGTCCAAAAAGGTTTCATGAAAAAAAAATATCTATCAAAACACGGGAAAAAAGAAGTCAACCATAAACAAAAGAAGAAGCTTGCAGCATCTTCATCCTCCTCGGGGACTTCTGGTGGACTAAAGAAGTTAATAAAGCTTTCACATTGTTCTGTTTTAGTAATTGGCTTGGCATTTTTAGTCCCCTTTGTAGGTTTCTTTTTAAGAATCTTATGTGTCAAGCATTTTCCTGGATACCACTCTATCTCCGTCCTACAAAGTAAGCATCAAGTTCAAATGAAAAATGGAAGAGAAGCATGCAGAAGAGTTTTCGAAATCTACAAAATGAAGAGACAACATGTCAGTAAGGAAATAAAATTACCCGATTGCTTTCTCCAGTATAGGTTCATCTTCATCAATCATGTGATACATTTTAGTCAGAATGGAGTTCTTGAAGTACAGGTTAGTGTCAAAATGAAATGCAAGTTGGAAGCCCTTAGGATTATCAACTTTGGACCACTTTATATCTTTGAAAAATTTAAGAGCCGCTTCATCATGCTTTGAAATCTGAGCCCTTACAAACATATATAACTGAGTTAAGATAACTAGAAAGATGGAACCCCAAATCTTAACATGGTATCAGAGTCCATTATGCTCCAACGAACGATTCGATCCCGTCAAGACTCTAAAAATGAGCACGTAGATTTCAAGATTGGTCTGCTCAAATGAGCCACCATCTTGCGGGGGAGTGTTAAGGGATATAATCCCACATCGAATAAAGATGTTGACACAGACCAATTAATAAAGATTTTGGACTACTCCTCTTAATAAGGTTGACCTTTTAAGATGAACCCCCAAATCTTAATAAATCTTATGTGTCAAGCATTTTCCTGGAGACCACTCTATCTCAGTCCTACAAAGTAAGCATCAAGTTCAAATGAAAAATGGAAGAGAAGCATGCAGAAGAGTTTTTGAAATCTACAAAATGAAGAGACGACATGTCGGTAAGGAAATAAAATTACCCGATTGCTTTCTCCAGTATAAGTTCATCTTCATCAATCATGTGATACATTTTAGTCAGAATGGAGTTCTTGAAGTACAGGTTAGTGTCAAAATGAAATGCAAGTTGGAAGCCCTTAGGATTATCAACTTTGGACCACTTTATATCTTTGAGAAATTTAAGAGCCGCTTCATCATGCTTTGAAATCTGAGCCCTATATATTGACTCAATTCTATTGATCAGAACCAGTATTATATATTCACAAAAGTAAAAGAGTAGCTTTTGGAAATGATTAACCTCTTCGGCAAGTACTTCATTGTTTTTCATTGCAGTGAGCCAGAAATCAGGAACTCCTTTTTCTGCATAATATTGAAGATGTGAAAATACGCGTTACCATCATAAAAGAAAAGCCCTAGAAAGATATCGAACCATAACCCCAGCATCTTTCACTTCTTCTTGGTTTGTAGGCTCTCCATCAGTTGTATCTCCTTCAACTTTGACAATTCCATTTACAATTTCAAATCTCTGCACATGTTTGCCATACTTAAAAAATAGAGCAAAAGAACAAGTTTCTTTGTGGCCACCAAAAAAAGTTAAAAACACTCGAACAGCATAACGCCATAAGCACAAGCATAACATACTTTGGCATAAAGTGGACTATGTAGCTTTTGATATTTGGCTTCAAGTGCTGCTCTCTCCTTGAAAATTTTTGCCTCCAATTCATCGTGCTCACTCTGTAACAATAAGAAGAAGTTACAAAGGAGGATATGAAATAACCATAAAAGATCCACTGCCTTTGATCAATTATTGATTGTTCTAAAACTACTAAGCATATGTTCCCTTTTAACAGCCATATCCAAAAGCACAGGTAAGACGATAGGAATTGCGAAGCAATAATTGAACAGATCAATCACCTTATCGCGCAGTGTATAGTTGCAATATGACACATTCATACATTGCACTCACTAGTCCTTCTTTAACTTAAGAGGGAAAAAAAAGAGTCAATTATAGCCTCAAATTTATGCCTATGTTAAAAAAGCATATGTAAGATCAGAGCATGTTATCAAAACCAGTCAGTTAAACAATTGGTAGTAGCGAATGAATAAACTCTCATACATCCATAGGTACAAAGTTCATTTCTTAGCCAAACAAAACTTTTCCCCAGAGTAAAACCCAATTCATAGACCAAAATAATAAAATTAGTTTAACTTCATCTTAGCCCTCACGACTTTATGACACATCCTCGAGATTCAATTTAATAATATAGAGCAAAATAATAAAATTAGTACCAGGAATGTGTGCACAAAAACTTTTATTTTTATTTTAAAACTTAAGTTGTATATATAAAAAAAAATAAGTAGAGGAGAACTGTCTATAACGTTTCAAGCTTTTGTTCTCAAATCGTTATATCACACATATTATCCGTTTTGGAAGGGCTTGAGCTATCTTACTTTTCACAATTTTTTATCGCATCCTCCAATATTCGTATTTAACGCTGGTTTATTTCTCACTTTTTATTCCTAAGTAGAAGAAATTGGACCATTGCTTTTCCACAAACCCATTTTTTTATTGCATTCGACACTAAACATGATATTTCACTGTAGCATTTATTGTTTTCATCTTCACTCCCCCTACCTTGCCTTTCTCTCCCAGAACACTACTTTTCACAGCTCTCCTCACTATTGGACAGAAAAAAGTGGGGATAAAAGGAATTTCAAAAATGACAATTGTAGGTATTCAAACCAATAACGTAAATGGGGAGGGAGACCCATGATGTGATGCAAAAATGAATTCTACAATTTCAAAATAGAAAACAAACAAGGCTTAAAATTTTCGCCATATAAGAAATTTAAGTTGAATCATACTTTATAATTTAATAACAATTTCAAAAACAAAAAATTCTACTTGTACATCAACTTTTGTACATAAGGGACTACACGCCCTCACATGTGGGGGGGATTGACTATATTTCTTGTACGTCGGCACGCACTTGGATTCTCGTCAGTTTTCTAGACTTCTGCAGATTGTTATAAAAAGAACGAGTTTTTTGCGGGAGACAAACTCATTAACTACGACTTTCTTTCAAGTGCGAGCGTTGAGTTCTGAAAATAATTGTTAGTGCCTCTGATTTTCGTATTGATAGTTTATGGCAGATGTAGCAATCACATACTTGGATTGCTTGCAACTTCATCAAAAATGAATATTTTTGGGTATTTAATGTTCATTACGCAGTTGTAGTTTTAGCTGAATTATTTATTTTTGTTATAACAATCATAATTTGAGAAATTATAATTACATGATATTATATAGAGAGTGTTATTTCTAATTTTACAAATACGACTATTAAGACGTCGAACCATTCAAATCGTACTATAACTGAACTCGTTATAGTACTTGTTTCGCGCGGGTAGTCGCTAACAATTAAAAAAAAATTCAGACGATTGTGTAAGGGACAAACTTATTGAAACAAAGTTCCAAAAAGGGGTGTTTTATGGATGAGAGTTACAATTGTAAATAAACAGAATGCCTCCAAG